TTCAGTCATAACAATGCAACCTCTACCCTCAGTTACCATTGGTTTCCTCGATGATTTACATCGCATTAAAAAGTATGCTGACTCCAGTTTCTTAAAGTTCTTCATTAGCCGAGACTTATTTGAAAAAACGTCTCCACTATTGTTTTGATCATCACCAATGTTATCGTTGCATTTTTTAATGTTGCGAGCATACATCTCTGATTTGATATGCTTTATAGTGCCTAGGCCGGCAGAATCTTCACTCTCAACAACTGCCATGGACGGGAAACTTGATACTAAATGATCGTCACTCCCTAAATTAGAGCCAAAAACTTCTTTAAATACTATTTGCTGCTTGGTTGCTTCTTCAATATCTGAACACAGAAAAGAAACAGTATGTTGCAAATTATCAGCAACACCCCTTTTTCTCTGCTGAATTAACAAAAGGAATTCTAGTAACAACTCTTGTTCCTCTATTTTTTCTCTAAGTTTTATTGCAGCTTCACGTTTCCATTTCATCTCTCTGTTCATTAAGGAACTCACTCTGCAACAACTCTCTGGTACAAAAAGGAAACAAATGTTACAAAAAAAATTTCACTTAAGGTCTATCATAGAACTAGAAATGTTTGATCATTAAGGATCTTAATCACTGAAAATAATATAGTTGACCCAGGTGTCCAGAACCAGACTACCTCTAAAGCTTGAAACATACGCAAAGCATGGCTCCACATATTTTAGGATAGGTCCCGATAATTGAAGAGGATTTCATATATGTCAGGGAAGCCATTATTCCAAAAGCTTAAGGAATCAATATTCAACGAAGCACAGGTCCAACAAAATCTTGTGCAAAAGAAAAGGAAGTGAAAAGGTCCATTTATGCTAGTAAAGGTTGAATATAGCCCAAGACATCAAAAATAAATAAATTGTCATCAACAAATGCAATCAAACATTTTGATGTGAATTTGTAGTTATTGGCATGTTCGCCATCTAGTTTTTATCCTTCACCAAAAATATGAATGTCCGACTTATTAGTTATTACACCTAAACTCAGCATCAGTGCAAGAAATTACCATGTTAATGATAAAGATCTAAAGTGGAACAAGTTTGTTAGTAGCTGAATCATGATCTTTCAATACATCAAGGAATTGAAACATAGGGGGGGAAAAAGCCTCAAAAAGGCAAATAGTGATGACAAGTCTAGACCAGTTTAGAATTTCGATGTATAAGAACCACTTGGTTGGGGAGAAATTACCTAGTGTTACGACTACTAGGTTGGGGGTGAAGAACCACAAAATGAGCTTCTTGGGGGTGAGTTATTGAAGTCAAACTTGCATTTATTACTCTAGAAGTCTATGTACTGGAGGAAAGAACTCTATGTCTTCTGGACATGTTCTGATCTTTCTTCGTTGATCTGAACGGACAGAAGAGCTGTCCAATTATATGTAGGACAATCAAGTTAGTGGAAAAAGAAAAACAGATATAAAGTGAAGAAGATAAAACATATTGAAGTACTTGAATAGAATCTAAGTACAGTTGTTAATATGAACCTCAAACAGGAGAACCCCCAGTCGGTAGATGTCTGAAGCAGAGGAACTTGAAGTACCAGCTACCTCTTCAGGACTAGCATACCAACTAGTCTCCATTAGCAGTATCTGTTTCATTAGAAATGAATGCTTCTTTCCTTCTGTTTCTTCAGTGTTTATCCTGCCTCTGGCTTTATTTTCTTCAGTATCTTCTGTTAAAGATGCACGAGCCGCATTCACTGCACTGGACAGCATGCAACTAGAATTCGACACAGCAGTTGTTGAAGTCTTGACGAATTCCATCCCTTCGCCTCCTAAACTTCTCTGGTGATGCATATCAAGCGAATGGGAAAACGCAGGGGTTTTAATCTGAGTAACTTGGCTATTTAATCCATTTTCTAAAGAATCTGAGCCAGAATCTGAACAAGATGCAGACTCAATGAAGGAGATGAGATTGAAAGATGACATGACAAAGCAGGATGGCCTTACATTATGAACAACAATTCCTTGACAATGTGCTGTATTTACAATTTCTACTATTGCCTAAATATGCAAGCATTCAAATACATCTACCAAGCGTTCAGGTTTATCTAACCACTGCCTCAAGCTAACATCACCCCGTTTTACAGAATGAATACAAGGGCCAACCGCAGCCTCATACTCATGAACCCCAGAGAAACTAACCAGATCTTTAGGCTGATCACTTTGAGCCAACACAATCCTATCTTTGTCCTTCTTGAAGCCAGAAGTATCATTTGAAATCTCACCAGAATAAGGGTTTCTGTCCCAATAAATAGGCTTCTGCCAAACAGACCCAGACGAACCCTCCATTTTTATCCTGTTAGAATTGCATGAGCATGATGAAGGCTAGGACAGAGACCCGTGGAAGAACTTTCCAGCTTTAGTAACACTCTCTCTTAGCACAAGCATTACAGCTCGAAGTTTCATTCCAGCGTCACAAAAAAATTCAATGAAAAACCCAATACCAAGATCAACTCAGCATTTCCACGCTGAACGAAATGATTAGTTCCTGCCAAGTACCACCGGTCCAAATTTCATTTCAGCAGTTTTAACCAAAAACCAAACACCAGAACATTGAAAAGAGACGCTCCCAGAAAACCCAACGCAGAATGATGTAGTTGTGCACAGATTTCCCAATTTGGACGTAAATTATCACAGCTCAAAGATGAAAAGTGCAGAAAAGAACTCAAAGTCTCAAATTTGCTAGTTGAGTAGTGACTAGTGAATCAACAGCGATAGGAGTAAATAGGGAAAGAGGAACTAAGAGGGAAAAAGAGTGGATTATGAGATGATGATGTGTTCCTTGCTAGGCACCTAGGCCAACCTGAGAAGGCAAACCACACAACAAAAAACTCTTTACTTGGTATTAGCATAGCACTAACTCAGAAACTTCCACAGCCTCATAAATTCTTTTCATTTCTCAAGACAAGAGAAAACCAAAAAGAACAGGGTACTCACAAAGTTTTCTATGTCGCCCCTTTGTTTTTCGTGTTGTCCTTTTTTCTCAGACGGAGTTTATTTTTCATGTCTATTGATTTCCATGCTTTGTTAGTATCATAAACGTAACTGACGTTAGGATCATAAACATTTTGCAATTTAGTAATTTTAATTAAAAAAATGTTTACCGCTAGTGAAAGATCACCCCTTGAGTTTGAAGGAAAAAAAATATTTTATAAAACATGGGGGAATTTTGATCTGATTACTATACTGTTTTATCTCCCAGGCAACAGAGGCCATGCAATCCACTAGCTAGAGAGGGAGTAAATTTTAATAACTGGATGGCCGTGCGGTCAAAACTTAAATTAAAGAAAGAAATAGGAGCAAATGGCAATTATTGGGGGGAAAAAGGTGGATTAATCTATCTTGGAAAGGATGAATTCACTTTCCCAAAGTGGAAATGAGAATAAACAATCACATGCTTTTGTAACCCATCAATAAACAATTATTTTCTTACCAACCCAAAAGGTCCCAACACAACGTAATAAAAAAAGTAATTAATTATTTTAAGATTGCACTTCTACTCTGATTTGTGAATTTAATGATTAGAAATATATTTATATCATATGAGTTGATCAATTTTTAGCGTCACGATAGAAAGAGTAATTAATTGAATCTTTCATGCGTATATTATTTTATATTAATAAATATTATATGGACTTTTTTAAGTATAAAAATATTATATGGACTTTGACAATTGCATGACATCGACCTTTTTCTTTCTGTCTTCAAATGAGAAGATTTTTTTTAATCGCACCAGATTTTTCAAACCCAATTTTTATTTTATTTTTAAAATTTTTCATACTTTCTTGAAACACATCATAATTCATGAAACCCATTTTTAAAAGCTAATTGGGATCAACCAAAAAAAAAAGTTTTTTACGCTTTACAAAATATTATCTTTGATTTTTAATATAAGAGTCAATTAGATATTTAATTGGCACTAATATAAAATCTCAATTTACTTTATTTTAAATATTTGTTTTTTTTTTCTCAAATAACTTTTATAGTAATTGCATATATTAAGGAGTTACTATGAAGAAATAATTCAAGTACCAACTAATAAAAAAAATTCAAGAAAGGAACATTTATCTATTACACACTACTAATTTAACTAATTTTTATGTCACAAATTAGTTTTAGCTCTTATATTAACGGGGTGTTTGGCAAATCTGTAAAAAATGCTTTAGAACCCAAACCAAGGTTTGGTCTCAAAGAACAGACACGCGATGCTCATCTCAGTTCAGGACCATTGGTCAACACCATCCCCAAAAGCTTTTAGGATGAAAGAGAGGGGAGACAATGGACCACACTGTTTGAACGATATGATACATATCATTCAGCGTGGGATAAAAACAAGAACAATCGTCTTGTGATAACATCAAAGTAAATCTGTTTTTTTTTTTTTCCCAAATCAACTCAATAATAGGTAACTTGCCGCCAGCTTTCTTAAATATTTTTGCATACTATTAATATTCATATCTTAAAAGAATTTTTGATATATTCAACACCCAAATACTTTTTAAGTAACATTCAATATTTTGTAATAACTTCTAGTATTAAAAACTATTCTTCTTGGTAGCATCAGGCACTCGATATTTTAATCTAATTTTTAGGTGCATTCAGCATCTAAAATGCTTTCTCAGTAATACCTATATATCAAATGCTACTTAATTCTAACTTGAACCCTATGTACTAAATATTGATGATAGGAATTAGATTAGATGCCAAAATATAGGATCAGATAAAAGGCAGTTTAATATTTAAGGCTCTTGTTGCAAATTACAGAGTTCATTAACAGGAGTTTTGCTTTGTGACAAGTTGTAAGTCGTAGATAGCATGACTCCCAAGTTCGAAACGATATGTGTAGAACCGTGTATAGTTACCCAGAAAAAAAAATAGAGTCAACAGTTTTAAACCACATGCGAAACAAATGAGAAGCAAATATTAACATGACACCTAAAAATCAATGGAGGCATCTTGTGAGTGAATGTTACTGTATAATCATAACATAAGGAAGCCATTGTTCTCAGAATTCTACAGCTCAAGGCTGATAAGCTTTACAAGAACAGCCATATATCAGAAATTGCAGCTGTAAGAGGAAAGAAGATTTTCTCTATGCTATTGAGTCACCTAACACCGGCCACCATGGGCAGATTCTGCGAGGGATATACCTTATACATGCCAAGAGTGTAAAAGAAAGAAAGAATCAAATATGAATATTTGATTCACAAGAGAAAGATCACCAGCCAAATAATTTTTTGCAGTGATCTTGTTAGAGATGATGGCTTTGCATTTGGCTGCATCAGGCTCTACACAACAGCTCAGCGACCAGAAACAAATAATGAATTGGTTGTCATCTGGTTCCCTTCAGCCTGAAGTCTTCTCATCTTCGCCTTGTCCAATCGCGCTCTTCTGACAACTTCTTGAATTTGCCGATCGTGGTCCTTCAACATCTGATCCGTGTTGCTAGAAGGGACTAATAATGGACCAGAATAATGAATTTTATGGCCCTTTGACCCATAACCAACCTGCATCATTATAGATATAGTATCATCTGCTACTGATAAACGAAAAAACGGAAGCAAGGTGCATGGTACACAACTTTCTCATTCTTGGCATGCAAGATTCCGAGATGTAAAATATCATGGTAACTAATAGTGTCCTGTTTGTTTTGATGACAGAAGTTATACAATCGCTATTCTATACGTGGCAAACCCAAAAATGCAGGACCGTGAGGTCGAAATAGTTCTAGGATGGAATGTCCATATTAATCTCTTTTGATGCCTTGAATAACAATGTATAGCGCGTAAGCATTACAAAGGGTACCAAACACCTCTTTTAAACAAACTAAAGCAAAAACATTGTACAAGTCCCCCACTTCGTAAATGGAAGATGAAATTCACAGCAACGGATGACTAACTAAGCGAACGATGAAAAGCAAAAAGGACAGGACTGGTATCAAGGAGGGGGGAAAACTACTCACAGGAATTGGGTCCTTGTTGCTGCCTCTCCCTTCTTCCTTTGGAGGAGGGACTCCAGCATGCTTCTGTTCATGTTGCATCAATGACTCAGAGGCCTCCTTCATGGATCCTGGGAATCGGCTTATTAGTTTTGGAACCTCTGTGTGTGATGATCCAGACCTTTCTCTACGATCATCAGATAACATGCTTCTTCTTGCTGCAACTAAGCCAGACATTGCTGACAAGTCACCCCCATTTGAGATCTTGGGGGCATCGTCAGGGTTTTTCCCAGCTTTTGTCCATGCAGAGCGGTTACAAAGTGGACCTGAATGGGAAGCTCTTTTATGTTGCTGTAACTGGTGATCTATGCCTACTTCCACAGCCTGTGATGGCCTAGGGGGATCGATGGGAAATCCTGAAGCAACTTCTTCAGGATGAGGGTTAAACTTCTCACTACGGCTCTTAGAGTTGGATTGACCTTGTCTCTTCTGCCAAAAGGTTTAAAATTCCAACATCAACAAAATCAAATCAAATTAAATATGTACGAATAAACAAAGATGACTATGAAAATTATCCTCAGAACAACAAACAGATGATAAAAAAATATGTATGAGTGAGGCTATCATGATTTTGAGGTAAAAGAACTGAAGTAAGTTTCATGCATGAAACCTGAATGACCAAAGCAGAATGATATCGAACATAACGTGCAATTGCATCTTACAATGACATAGTTAGGGTTCGTCTAATGATTGAACAAGATACCTGCATGGATAGGACCAGTTCAGCATTAGCATCAGGAGCAGGGACAGCCCGAGACTCTCTTGTCCCTTGTCTATGGCCCTTGCTTCCAAGAGCTCCTTGTCTGGTAGAATCAGAAAAATCAAATTAAATTTGCAACAGTCAACCTCACAGTATAGCCTTCAAGGTACAGGACCAGACAAACACTAATGATTAATTTGAAAAACCCAGTCAAATGCATCTTAGTCTAGTTCATTGACAAGTCATGGATAAATAGAATTAGAACTAAACATAGAAGATCTAAGGGATAAAACGTCATTTGAAAATAGTATTTTTGAAAATTTTGAACGTAATGATGTTCATATCAGGAGTCCCATGAAACATTGAAATAAACAGACGCCTGCTCTACACAATTAAGCCAAGTGATGTAAAGGAATACATACTCCTAACTAAAAATGGGAGTTGCCTCAGCCAGGCAACATGGGACTCGCTCCGAAGTTATGATATCACCATTCAGCAAGATAATTACAAGGAAGAGCGAAAACCCCCCAAAAAGAAAAATGAATAGTAGTTGCAGTTGTTGGAACCAGCCAAGCTTTAGTTCTCTGGTTTGTTTTTTAAGGTTCAATCAAAGTTCAAGATAACTTCACTTTTCTTTAATTTGCAATTGCCGAATAGTGATAGCCAAAGACGTTTCATTTTAAAAAGGAGGAACAAAAAGCTTTAAATCTGGAAAACAACGAAAATAATAGCAGAGATGTCACTAAGTTGTTGCTGAACATAAATAACATATTCACTTTTAAACCAAGGCTATGCACACACCTTCTAGCTTCTTCATCCCGTGCTTTGGCATCAAATTCCTTGCTCGGAGGATACTTGGGCAAACTTGAAGGATCACAAGGTAAGGGCTTTGTGGTGAAGAACTGAATCACAAAAACACCAGAAGGAAGAAGTCATTGATAATGCATAGACACGTATGAAAGGAAACAATTGATCACGAAATATAAAACAATTACTTTTGAAGAACTCTGTCTGAGCTGATCATAGTAAACAATTATCAACTATAAATTAACAAGTGGTGAATATTGTAAGATGAATTACATACAAGCTTTATCATATAGGACGGGGAGATGTGAGACAACCCTTTTAGGTACTTGCAGCAATACACAATATATTTGAGAACTAATTACTGGCATAAATATTATCAACCAGAAATAATATCAGAGCATTTATATTCTTGTGTGTTGACAGAAATTCCAAAAACATTCAAATTTTCTAACAACTCAATGTTTAAAAAAGTTAAAGCAGATGCTCTGAACACTACAAACGACCCCCTCAACTTGCACTGACAGAGTTACATTTCACGTGAGAAGCATTTCAATAAGCAGGACCAACAAGCGAAATGACATCACCATTAAAAAAATGCCATATTATTTTCATCAAAATATGCATACCTCGCTCTTCAAAGCAGATGCTGCTGTTCCACGATCAGCAGGATCTATGGATAAAAGGGTTTCCATAAGTGCTAATGCAGGCGCAGGAAACTCCTTAAATGTTTCTCCAACACACCGCCTGTAGGGCTGTTGGGGCTTAAATATTGTTGCATGAGGTAGCTTTGATTTCCTCCAATAATCCTCAGAAGGCGAGCCACAAAGTTTAAAAATTTTATGTAACTGTTCAACCTACAAGGAAGAAAATGTGTGTAATAATTTCCTTTGTAAAACCAAGCAGATTGAATCGCATGATAATTCAAGAACATGTTTTATGCAGAAAACACCAATCTTTCTGAATTTTTACATATATTTTCGTTCCAATCAAACCTATGCTTGCCTACAGTTCATAATTTTTGAAAGCTACCGCATGCAGTTTACAATAAAAATTGTAAACAAATAAACAGTGCATAACAATCATTTTGGCAAAAGTGACGGAAACAGAAAATGCATAAAAATGCCACATTCAAATTAGATGGTGAAAATTAAGTATGCACACCTCAGTTCTTCCTGGCATAATAGGCTTTCCAGCATACAGCTCAGCAAGTATGCAGCCTGTACTCCATAAATCAACTGCAGCGCCATAGTAAGTTGCTCCAAGCAAAAGCTCTGGAGGACGATACCAGAGCGTGACAACTCGACTAGTCAATGGCTGAATTTGATTGGGATTATAAAAGCTTGCCAAACCAAAGTCTGCAATCTTCAAGATTCCATTGTTGTCAATCAGAAGGTTGGATCCCTTAATGTCACGGTGCAGTACACCACAGCTATGGCAGTGATCAAGTCCACGTAGAAGTTGCTGCATATAACATTTGACCTGACAACTTCCAATAACAGAAGTAAGTCTCTTTGGAGGTTTCTTTAGGTCTTGTCATACTTGATCTTAGTTATGTTCTGCCCCGAGAGGGAATCTTACTCTTTTGTGAAATATTTCTTACCGCACAGTTGCTTCATTTCCAATTTCCAAACTAAATGAATCGATCCTCAGCTTAGAAGTGAACAGGGATCAGCATCTTTAATTATTATCTTAAAATAACTACTATCAAATAAATAATTAGGTTGAACATCATATTAAAATAGACAATAATGACAGTTAGATTTTCTTGAGATATACGACAACCCTTCTTGCAAAGCAGTAGGCAAAAGAAAGAAGCTTCTGAAAGTACCTGCGCTTCAGTAAACTTTAGTCCAGGATGTGAAGCAAGCCCAGCCAAGTCATGTTCCATGTACTCAAAAACAAGGTATAGGCTGCAAGACATCCTTGATGTAACTAGACCTTCCAGTTTTATAACATTTGGATGATCAAGCCTACGAAGAATGTGAATTTCCCTTGCCATGAAACGAACACTCTCAGGTTCAAGATTATCGAACCTCACTTTTTTCAAAGCAACAATTTTCTTATGCTCAAGATCACGAGCCCTATAAACATTGCTATAAGTTCCCTGACCAATCTGCACTTTAAAGGACATAATTTATTATTAATAGCAAGTTAAAACAACAACAACGTAAAATAATTTCAAAAACTAACCGTGATTAAGCAGAAAATTTTACTAAGAAAAATCAAATTACTACAAGGACCTCAAGCCCCGTATTCGACCTCAACTTTCTGGCAAACATAATTTATCATACCATCAAAAATATATAATTTGAAATTTGAAACTAAAAAACAGACGATATTGTAGTGAATTCACATTTAGAAACAGATGACATCAGTAAAACCATAATTTAGCAGTAAATAGTTAAGGATAACCTCATGAGCATTAGACCCACAATCGCCAATATTATTCAAGAATTATAGGCGGAAAAAAAAAATCTTAGAATGAAGAGCAAAGAATCATTTAATAACATTTGATCATTAAGGAGGGTACAAAAAGTTGCAATTTAGCTCAATATGATCAAGAAGCAAAGAATTATCTTAGATATCAGTTCATCATCCTAGTTTGATATCAATAGTCAATGAGGGAGCAAGGAAGTTGGTTTGTCATTTGCACATTGCCATCTCTGGCAGCAAGCAGATTTTGGAAGTCTAGATAACTAAACAAAAAAGAAGTAAAAGATAGGAATAGCCCATCATATTTAAAATTTAACACAAGTTTTAGAAGTGATATTATGCAATAAACTGGAGGGAAAAAAGTAATCATAAAATATTAGCATACAAATCACTATGCTACACATCAAAGTTGGTAAAAACAAAAGGATAAAGAGCTCTAATGTCCGCAAAAAGGGAAGCATATAATGAGATATAGCCAGATCAAGAATGAAGCATACTTTATCCAACTTCTCAAAAGAATCTGCTCGTCGTGGCAACCATCCCTTGATAGCCTCTCCAGCCACCGCTGCCAACCATGAAGGCCACCCAGCTGCAACCTGCTCCCCTTCTGTGGCTTTTGGAACGCTACCAAGTCCTGGATGCTGTGCAATAACATACTCTGGTTTCTCCCTCTTCCTTTCAAAATGATCAACTTGTAAACGCACAGAGCCATTTCCTTGTTTATCCATGGATGCAGTTCGACCATCAGTACTATCGCATCTATCCTTCACTCGATATCCATCCTCTCTCCTTGACGAAGTGGCCCTAGATCCACGGGAGTCCAACGAAGCCTTATTTGATAATCGCTCCCTTGGACTCTCCCTACTGTCGTCAATGGCTGAGGGCTTGCAACAAACGCAACCCATCATGCAATAAACGCAACCACCAATCTCAATGTCCACTCAAACTGTATCTCCACAATATTATCATGTTATCCTCTCCTGAGCTATAATCACCAATTCACTCAAAGCACATCTCAAATGTCATACAATAACTTCAAATGTAAAGTTATTACAAAGTACCACAGTATTCATCTCAACCCAAATGCGGCCTCAAATCACCAAGTAATTGACATATTCCACCCACCAAAACACAAGAAGCACAACAGCCTCAAGACTTCAAGGAATCAAAAGCTAGAAATCTCCAAAATGCTCAATAGACCACAAGGAAAAACATAATAACTTGAAAATGACCGTTCTTCGGCTCAGTAGAATGCCTTTCCAAACAAAAGCTCGCTACTTTCTAATCCAGGAACATACAACTTTCCAAATTTACAAGGAGAGGAGTCAAAATAGCAATACCCAGTTCCTCAAAACCTTGTAAAAGCTGATTTTCACCGCAAATAAGTTAAACACAGACCTTATGAAGCTTTCCCAGCATCCAAACTGAATGAATGACAAAAAGGGTATCACCGCATCTCAGAGCTTGCGCAGAGAAGCCATGGATCTAGGGCACAATGATTTGAGAAACCCGAGCTTGTGTATTTGGAAGATGAAGAGATGCCAGTAACACAATAAAAATTATTTTATATATTTAATTCAATGAAGATAAATTAATGTTGGCAGTAGTAAAAAATTAAAAACATGTAAATATAGCCTCTCGCGGCGCTTATTTATGTTGCGAAGAGGAGTGTCCCCAGCACTGCAGGCTGCAGCTTTCAGTGAAGAGAGAGAAAAGCTGTGAAGCGAAACTCAGTGCATGAAGACATTCTTGTTCTTGCCATAAGGCCACGCGCTTAGGAAAGGATGAGGTATATGCCAATAATTGCCACTTTTTTATGACAGACATTAATTGGTAATTACTTTTCTTAGGTCGTCCATTGAATTAAAGTTTTGAGAAAATTTTTCAGCCTAAAAACGGATGAGAAAATTCCTTTATGAAAAATATTTTTCACGATCCATGCATCCCAATTTTGATATGCATGACTCTCTATCATGTATTTTCATTTTGATGATTAAATTATAGTTAAAAAAAATAAATTTTTCAATGTTTTGTTACCAAGTTCAAAATGAGTAATTATAAAACTTCACAAAACTCACATCTGTCCATTAAATTTCTGGCAGCTAGCCGACTTGAGCTGTTTAAATTATTTACTGTATGTTTTTTTTCTTCAGTGATGTAGTCACTGTATGTTTTGTGACCCAGAGAATTTATTTATTTTTTACTTCATATATATTTTGTCCTTCTAACACACAAGGATCATTATTTTAGTAATACAGCCATATCAGCTATCAAAGAATATCAAATAGTAGTTGTGTAATTATTTTTCTTCCAGATTAATATTATGTTTATTATGAAAACTTTGCAGGTGACCCTCCGGTTTTGTCCAAAAAAAAAACCTGACTCTCCTGTCAACTCTGTCTTCAATCAGTCATCAGTCAATTTATAATTTTATTAATTCCACAGTTGTGTTTTAAGATTAAAATATATTATGTCTGGTTCTTAATATAAGATTTTGTTTGATTTTTATTTTGATCCTAAATATAAGACCCTAATCCACTTTGTCTTTCAAATTTATGTATTTTTTTCTAAAGTAATCCTTCTAATAATATTAGTTTTAGCCAATACACTTGATTAACAAATATATTTTAGAAAAGAAAACACTTATTTATTACAAATAACTAACTTAACTTATTTTCTTAGTCTCCTTAAATTAGTCAACTAGCTCTTATAATTAGGACCGGCGGAAGTACATTTTTTTTAAAAAAAAAAGTCAAGTAAGGATAATCTTTACCCTTAATGTGCATAATTATTGACTTTTCATAAATTTTGTATTATATATAATCTATATGAATTCATATTATTCACAAATTGTAACTTATTTTAAACTTAATATTACCTCTGGTCTTTAATATAAAACCTCATTTGATTTTTATTTTGATTCTAAATATAAGATCTCAATCCACCTTGTCTCTCATATTTATATTTTTTTTCAAGATAGTCCTTCTAATAATAGTAATTCTAACCAATAAACTTGATTTATAAGAATATTTTAGAAAAAAATAACATCTATTTATTATAAATAACTATCTTAACTTATTTCCATAATCTCCTTAAATTAGTCAATTAGATTTTATTTAAGACCGCTGAGTATAAAATAAAGGTACCTGAAAAATGGGTTAACTATCAAGTATCAAGCCAATGCCTGATTTTTGTATAGCTGAGCTAGATTTTGCCAACTTAGTATATAGAATTAGATTTAAAAAATGAAAATATATTAATATTAATATTAATAATATATTTTAGTTGAGCTAACTGATATATGATCATCTAGGATCAATTCTATTGAACTATCTAATCAATGTTTTAAAAGCCGGACCGGAAGTCGAACCGGAAAGATCAACGGGTCATGGTTCAATCGGTCGGATCGGTCGGACCGTTCGGTCAGACCGGTGACGCAATAATTAATTTAAAAAAATATTATATACATATAATTAGTATATATGAAAAATATCAAATTATTAAATAATTTAGAAATGCATTTAAATAATCTAAAATTATAATAAAATCATTGAAAATGGACTAAAACCTTATATATTTAATTTTATGTATGTTTAAAATATTTAATGATATTACAAATTATCAATTCATTCAAATCAAAATATTTTTTTAAAAGATAGATCAAATATCGAAACAAAAAGACTAGCGATTCACGATTTTAACACCACAATATATGAAATTTTCAATGAAATAATACTATATGGTTATAACTAGTCTAAAAATATATTAGGATATTTAAGGGGATCAATTTTTTTATTTTTCTTCTATTTTTTTAAAATTTTTTAGTATTTTTCAGTCAGGCTAAAAAACCGTCCGGTTTTCTGAAAACCGTTCCGGTTCCCGGTCCAACTCTGGTTTCCGGCTTAATAACGGCTCAACTCCGGTCCAATCCGGCTCAACTATGTGAACGGTTTTTTGGTCCAAACCGAGCCGTTAACGAGTCCGGGTGACGGTTCAACCGGTCCGACCGTTCGGTCCGGTCCGGTTCTTTAATCATTGTATCTAATGGTAGAAAAATAAATTATGTTAAATTATAAGGCCATGAATCCATGATAGAACTAGATAAGAAAGATAATTAAGTAATAGTACTTTTCCGGTCCTAAATGTAAGACCCTTATACTAGTGAGTATAAAGATCTTATATTTAGAACCGGAAGAGTAGTACTTATCAAAAGAGATCCCTACTAATTGGGGGAATTCATGTGGTGTGTAAACTAAAGTGCCCTTGCTATGCCCGTAAAGATAGGATATTTACTTTATGGGCGGAAAAAAATTACTGGTAACAGGAAAAGTTAGTGGGAGAATGAGGAGCGCGTGTGAGAGGAGAGTCTGAAAGGCGCGTGGGGGAGGAGAGGCAGCGTGAGGTACGAAGGGAGAAAGAAGGGAGGATGGTTTAGGTCATTCAAAGTCGTTGGCTTTTCCACTGCCTTATCAGTTAATTTCATAAATTTTGTTAGGTGGCAGAATTTGAATTTACCATCCTACCCCATTCACTCCCCACCGTGAAAAACTGGGTATGTGGTCCCCATCCCCCCCTCATCCAACGGTCCTGGATCCCCTCTCTTCTCTCATCCTGCGCCCCACGTCGCTCCTTCAGTATATATTTTTTAATATTATTTCTGATCTTTTTAATAGAGGACTTTATTTAATTTTTGTTTTGGTTTTAAATATAAAACTCTAATTCATTTTGTCTTTTATATATATTTATTTTTTAAGATAAAATTAATAAACTTAATTATTAAAAATATTTTAAGAAAGACAATACATATTTATTACAAATAACTAATTTTAATTTATTTTTTTAATTTACTCAAATTAATCAATTAATTTTTTTTTTAGTTAAGATTGAAGGTGAAGGTAGTATTATCGTCTTAGGCAAACAAACGCCTCTGTCCTGTCTCTTTCACTTTTGGGCGATCGCTTCCTTCTTACATGACTGGTTCCCATCTCTTTCCCTTTCCTTTTCAGGTTCTCTTGTTAACACGAAGATTAGAGTCTGTAGCACTTTATTATTTCAACATTACTCCTGTCGTAATCGTCTTGCATGACTTCTGTTATTTCTAAACCTATAATGGTTTTGCGGGAAAAAAATTATTAAGTTACTTGTTTAAAAATTATAGAAAAATTATAATAAGATCTCATTCAAGACAATTAAATACAAAAAATACCTTAAAATTATCAAATTATTCTAAGATTCTAAGAAACCTCATTGCAAAGGATTTTATTTGTTTAATTATCAGATTACCTGTATTTTTTAAAAAAAGATATACATTGATAACTGAAAATACAGTTATTAACAACTTAAAGTGTAATAATTAACAACTATTATGACAGATATTAACAACTCATGCATTACATTTTTGTAAGGCACTGAAAAAATATGTTGTTAATTCATGTCACGATAATCGTCAATCGTTATATCTTAAGTTATTAACTATTGTTTTTTAAGTTGTCAATACATAATTAAAAAAAAGAACAATTTGGTAATTAAAAAATAAAATTTTTTGCAATAATATCTCTTAAGACTTTAAAATAATTTAATGATTTTAAGGGATATTTTTATATTTAATTATCTTGTATATGACCTTATTGCAATTTTTCCAAAATTTTATTCACTAAAAAAGTCTAAATTTAAATTGGTACAACTTATTTTTAACGGGTGTAATTGTGGAATATATTTTTAATGTTGTGCAGATGATTTTCATTTGGGTTGATATGATTGTCAGTACTTATAGTTTGATCAAATTTTTTTTATTTTGATTCTCATATTTTCAAATAGTTGGTTTTAATCACTATCATTTATAGTTTCATAATATTTTGGTCTGACTTTAACAAATGGTCCTTATACTTATAACAAATTTTAGTTTCAATCTCTATATTAACTAAAA